GGTCGGTAGAGGTCGGTAGAGGTCGGTGGGAAGGGGTCGGTAGAGGTCGGTGGGAAGGGGTCGGTAGAGGTCGGTAGAGGTCGGTGGGAACGGGTCGGTAGAGGTCGGTAGAGGTCGGTAGAGGTCGGTGGGAAGGGGTCGGTAGAGGTCGGTAGAGGTCGGTGGGAACGGGTCGGTAGAGGTCGGTAGAGGTCGGTGGGAAGGGATCAGATAGGCGATCGGACTGGTAACGGTGGTCAGTGGCAATGGTAAATGGCAAGTGGCAAGTGGTTAACCCTCCACACCCCTGGCCCCTTGCGGTCTTCTTCTTGCAATGGATGACACACAGGGCCGAACCAGCCTTGCATGTACCACCTCAGAACCCGGAATTTGGACGTCTTGACGCAAGATTTTTTGCGAACTTGACCCCTCCAAGCCCCAACTTTGACCCCTCAGGCCCCGGAATTTGGACGCCTTAACGCAAGATTTTTGGCGAACTTGACCCCGACAAACCCCAACTTCGAGCCCTCCGGACGGAGGTCCATGGGCTCCGGAGGGGGCGTCAAAACCCCGATTCGGCTCAAGTATTATGCATACCAGGGGCTTTTCAAGTATTTAGCTCCCTCCTAATCTCCCAAGATCGCAAGAAAGACATCCTTTACACTCCAAATGGGGGCTTCTATTTTTTAAAGAGTGTATAGTATAAAATATTATATTTAACCAGGCTAACGCCTGGCAGCCGCCGACCCCCAGGAAAGTGGCTGGAAGAAACCCTGGCAAAAGACCTGAAAGGCATGAGTAAATCTTACAAAAACCTTTGCAAATTCTAGAAATCTAGCAAGGAACAAGGCCGCGAGCAGCCCGGGATTCGAGCCCGGGGACCGTGCTTATTGTTCCGCGCGGATGGAGAGTAAAACTGACAAAAACCTTAGAACATCCTAGAAATCCAGCGGAAAACGTTTGGAAATGGAGGAAAATGGGTTAGCATTTTTCTTTGCAAATCTGGGAACCCAAAAACAACACGGAGCCTTTACAAGTACCTAGAGAAGCCAGAGGACATGCTGGAAAACACCCTCGCAAAAGGTCTGAAAGGAACGAGTAAATCTTACAAAAACCTTTGAAAATCCTAGAAATCCAGCGGAAAACGTTGCAAAATCTGAGAAAAATCAAGGGCACTGGCAGGGACCAGGCCGCGACCAGCCCGGGATTCGAGCCCGGTCCCTAAATGACAATCCTAGAAATCCAGCGGAAAACGATTGAAAATCGAGTAAAGTGGGTTAGCATTTTTTGTTGAAAATCAGGGAACCCAAAAAACAACATGGAGACTTTAGACAACCACAGAACTACCTAGAAGAACCACAGAAAATGCTGGAAAAACCCCTCGCAAAAGACCTGAAAGGAACGAGTAAATCTTACAAAAACCTTTGAAAATCCTAGAAATCCAACGGAAAACGTGACAAAATCTAGGAAAAATCAAGGGCATCATTGGCAGGGACCACGCCGCGACCAGCCCGGGATTCGAGCCCAGGACCATTTATGGACCGTGCTTATTTTCCTGCTCGGGTGGAGAGGGTGCCCCAAGATGTAAATCAATTGGGATGGAGAAATCTTGGACAACTCTTGGAGAAATCTTGGAGAAATCTTGCGTACTTTTCGTCACTGCAACAAGGCTCCGGAGGGTAGGGGAGGCAAGGCTAAGGTCTAAGGCTAAGGCTAAATCAACAGTCACGCCTCACCCCACGAGTGGGGTCGGCGGATAAGGTGTTCTCTCGCACTGTTGGAAACATCGTGCCGAACGACTTGGTGGCGCGACCTCGTGCCCCCTCGTGCCTTCGACTCGACAGGTGAGCTGGCGCTTCGATCGGCATCTCAAGGGCGAAGGTGTGGAGGTGCCCAACACCGACCGGACAGTTGGTGGACCGGAGCACCGTGTGTGGGGACGGTCGGATGTCCATCGGGCCACGTGGGGTTCGCGGTGGGCCAAGTGGTGGGGACATACGTTTTGTTTCAGGCGCACAAGCGGCTTCGCATGCGGCTTCGCATGCGGCTTCGCATGCGGCTTCGCTGCGGGGTTCATGGTGAAGGAAAGGGTTTTGCCATGATTGGCCGATGGTTCACTGGCAAGTTGAGGGAGGGAGCAAGTGGCTGGAACCATGAAAGACCTATCGCCGATAGGACGAAACCAGACAAACGAGTGCAGAGGGCATTTTCTGAGGTGGACGAAACCAGTTGAAGGACCCTTTCACTGAAGCAGTTTTACTGAGTCTTTGGGCCCAAGCTGGAAGTCTTCATTCAGTTTTTGTGTTCGAACTCTTGAGAGCTCTTGAACATGGTTTCTGCTGGCAACAACCACACAATCCTACTCCGAAGTGATGGCAGAGCTGTCGCGTGCGGCAGAAATTATGATGGACAGTGCAACATTCCACCTTTGGATCAAGGAATATCGTACACCCAGGTTTCCGCAGGAGCGTTTTGTACACTGCTTCTTCGAAGTGATGGCAGCGCTGTGGCTTGCGGAAGCAATAGCTATGGAACATGCGACATTCCACCTTTGGATGAGGGACTGTCATACACCCAGGTTTCTGCAGGTTGGCATCACACAGTGTTTCTCCGAAGTGATGGCAGCGCTGTTGCATGCGGAATGAATGATCGCGGACAATGCCGCATTCCTCCTTTGGAACACGGAATTTCTTACACCCAAGTTTCTGCAGGCATGTATCACACAGTGTGTCTCCGAAGTGATGGCAGCGCTGTTGCATTCGGAAGTAATGATTGGGGACAATGCCACATTCCTCCTTTGGATGACGGAATGTTTTTCACCCAGGTTTCTGCAGGTGGGCGTCACACAGTGTTTCTCCGAAGTGATGGCGGTGCTGTTGCATGCGGAGTGGCCTGTGGAATTAATGCTCCTGGACAACGCCGCCTTCCTCCTTTAAAAGGAAGGACTTTCACCCAGGTTTCTGCATGCTGGGGTCATACAGTGTTTCTCCGAAGTGATGGCAGTGCAGTTGCCTGCGGACTCAATGGTGCACGACAATGCAATATTCCACCTTTGGATCAGGGACTTTTCTACACCCAGGTGGCTGCAGGATGGTGTCATACAGTGCTTCTGAGAAGTGATGGCTGTGCTGTTGCTTGTGGAGACCATTCGTTTTTTAAATGCTCCATTCCATCTTTGAAGTCCTGGCATGAGCTCTTTACTTTTGCCAAAGCCAGCTGTCGCTACATCTCCACTTGTCAACCACGTGCTACTGCTGTCAACCGCATCTTGCAACTGGGCGTTGCTGTCCAAGATGATACAGCCATGCTGACATGCTGGGATTTAGCCGGACATGAGGTGATTCGCTCCAAAGTGTCAGGGTCTGACCTGGCCCTGGAGATTCACAAGCGCATGGCACGTGAGTTGAAGGTTAGCCTCCAACGTCTTCGAGTGGTCTTGCCTGATGGACAGCTGTTGGCCTCAATCTGTCGGGCGAATCCATTGGTCACGATTGCTGAGATCAGCGAAGCAAGCCCAGAATAGTGCCCAAGGGTTTGGACATTTGGCAAGCTAGCGTTTCTGGGACTAAACGGACGGGTCGAACAGTCGAACCCCCCCAGCGAACCGGCACAGCCGGGCCGATCGGCGCACGCGCACGCCAGCGCGCCAGCGCGTTGCGAGGGGATGAAGAGATCAGTCTGGAGAGTCAGGAGATCGCAACCAGGACTCGCAGCCAAAAAGAGAGTGTTCAGTGTTCAGGTTGTTCAACAAGTGATGGTATAGCTGCTGATCCTCCAAATAGCTGCTGATGTAGGTATTTTCGGATTGAAGATATACGAGGGACAGGACACCTGCTGTGGTTTGTGCTAGGCCGCTAGGCACGAGGGGAAATTGTCTATGGAGTAGCTTGGGCACCCACAGCGCTACACCATGCAGGGGGACGAGCAAAAGACATGTGCTATCGGATGCAAGAATTCCGAGGACTGGCATGGTAAAAGCACAACTTGAGCAAACTTGGATCATGAGTCGTCGTGCCGGTCTGACTGCTTGTCATCACATGTCATCACTGCTAGGCTTGGAGATGTAGAACCGCTCTATGGAGAGTCAACAATTTTGTGGTCCAGGTCCGATGCTGTGACTGGGAGCTGCAACATCGCCCGCCCTCTGAACGCACAATGCGAGCCGCGAGCCTTGAGCCTTGCGTTGCGAGCCTTGCGCAGGTCCTCAGGCACGGTCAAGCAGTGCGCCGAGTGGCTGAAGAGGCCCAGCTGAGTTGGTGTTCAGTGGACTAGTGCATCGCTACTAATTAGGAACAAGGGCATCGGCAGTACTACAAGTAGCTAGAAGCTACTAGGAACAAGGGCATCGCTACTAGTTACAAGTGAGTGGGGTATCAGTACAGATTTCTTGTGGTGAGACTTGTCGGATGGCTGTGGTGAGACTTGCCGGATGACTGGACTGAACGCTTGAACATCCATGAGCTGGTGTCTTTTCTCATTTAAGGGGGGTTCGATACATGTGGGGTATATCCAAATTCTTGATCTGCACCCATTTAATGATTTTTAATTTGTTTATATGCCTTTTGGGTTGTGGTCATCTCTCTCAAGCAAATATGTTGTCAGCCTGGTTGTGAGACATACCAGTTCATTCTTCACAAAGAGCTCAGGAAACGAATAGACAGACATCCTTGGTGATGGTTTGGTTGTTGTTGAGCGTTGAGCCGATGACACGGCGGATTCGCCTAGCAATTACACCACAGATCCGTTCTTGTTTCAAGAGTCCGGACACAAGCTGGGCCTGGCGGAAGTTCCAGTCATGGGTATTCCAACCAACATAACAAACATATGCAAAAATAAACATCCAAATCAAGAACATTTGGTGGTGTGTTTGTGCCTGTTTGTGCTGTTTTGGACAGATCATCACCTTTTGGACAGTTTTGGAAAAGGATGGATCTGCCAGTTGTGTGCTCTCCGCAATTCAATGTCTCCTGGCGGGAAGACCTGCTGTGCATCAGAAAGAAAGCAACAAGAAATAAGAAAGTAAGTAGGTAAGTATAAGAAAGTAAGTAGGCCTAGTAAGTATATAAAAAAGTAGGAAAGTAAGAACTGCAAGAAAGTAAGCATAAGAACAAGATGATTCAGCATAAAATTGGCATCGAATTGGCCACGCACACTAGTGAGCACCCTCGATCCAACCCCAGCCATTTTACACCTACCGCACGACCCCCGTACCATGTAGACTCTTGATAAATACTCCTTTTGAAGAGGATCTTCATAATTCAATTTGGGGGGGGGTTGATATGGTCCTGACCATAGTCTACTTTACTCGGAAAGGATTCTCCCAAAACGATGCGGGTCGACGGACCGATCGAGACCGCGGAGCTCCAGACCGATCGAGACCGCATTGCGGTGACCGCAGGAGCTGGTGGTGCTGGGAGACGCGGCTCTTCCATGCGACGACCGATGGCCGTAACTCGGTCGCACAGGGGAAAACACGGTGGAGGAGCCACCAGAGGAGACGGGGTTCACCAGGTGGGTAGGCTGTTTTCTTTTTTGCGATGTGGTTGTGGAAGACATGGGGAAATTGATGAATGTGTTCCAATAATGGAATCATTTGTCAGACTCCTTTTCAATACCTGTCAACAGACATTTGTCAACTATATGCAATCAGTTCGATTGATGTTCTGCATCTTTCCCTGCAACAGCAAGTGAGTAGAGCCTTGTTCAGTCACGAAAGCTAGCCTTAGCTAGCTGGAGTTGCTCTTGCTTTAGCAAGTTAAGTGACGGGGTGGACGCACCTCAGAAACCTCAAATAATTGATTAAATCAATCTTATGGACCCCCCCCCCCCCGCGGTTCGACTCCCCCCTGCGCGCGGTGAGCGGGACCACCAAGCAGCTGCAGCACACCAAGCATCTGCAGCGCCCAGCGCAGCACCAGCAGCAGCAGCAGCAGACCACCCAGCGGCGGCCGCAGCAGCAGCAGCAGCATACCCAACGCCGCGGCAGCAGCAGCCGCAGCAGACCACCCAGCGCAGCAGCAGCAGCAGACGACCCGGCGCCTGCAGAGCACCCAGCGCAGCAGCGCCCAGCGCAGCAGCACCAGCAGCAGCAGCACCAGCAGCAGACCACCGGAAGCCCGGCTAGCTTTCGTTCACCCCCTTTGGCCTCAAGTTTACATTGCCAGAAAACTGAGGGAGTCTCCAATCACCCATGCCGGTTCGTTTTTATGCTCTCTGTCAAGTTCTGGAAAAGAATTTCAAAAGGAGTGCCGGTGAGATGTCCGCCAAATGTAAGAATACAAGGACCTTCACAGCGACCTTCTTTGGTATCTCCCAAGTGAGCTATGCTGGCTAGGCCTAGTTGTGACCTCGGGATGCGTCTCTTTGAAGATCCTGGTAGGTGAGACGAAACAACTTGGTGACCTCTTGATCTGGGCGCTGGGTCCGACGTCCGACGTCCCCTTTTTCGAGTCGTCGCCGACGTCCCGGTCCCCATTCACTCGCACGGACGAGCTGTTGAGTGACCTCCAGTCGGCAGCGGCCCGTCGGTTCGGTGTTTCAAGGTATTTGGAGGTGCACTTGGATGAATGTGGCGAGGTGCGGCTGCGGGATATGGAAGGACCAACGATCAGCCGATGCTGATTTGTTTCGGCGCGGTCTTCATTTCGGGACCCCCAACAAAAGAAGGGACCGAAGACGTCGGGACCGAGAACGTCCAGTCTTTTTGGTCGTGTTCGCCGCGGAAGACGGGTGATGGTGGGTTCAACTGGTTCAACTCCAAGGAATTTGGTCTCTAGCCTTTCTCAGACTTACAAATGGACTCTTCACGAGAAAAACAAAGGCGTCTTTGTTTCCGGGAGCACACGGGAGCCATGTCCAAGCATGTCCCACTCCGTCGGTTTTGTCCATCGTCGGCGCCCAAGACGGCGTCATGATCGCTTCCCGGCAAGCCCCTGGAATTGCTTGTTTGAGAGTGGTCCTCAGTGATCAGGTATAGCTGGTGGGCCCGAGAAGTACCGCGGTGTTGAGTATGGTGTTCTCCACATGTTTCGTCGAAAGATGTCGACATGCTTTCGAAACTACACAGGCAACAGGTGCAGTGGGCCAAGACAAAAGACATCGGGACCAAGTTGTTGGTCATCATGGTCTTCAGTATTTGTTCTCACGTGTACAAATTCCGTCCTTTTGAGGCCTGATGGAAATCAGGCGCATCCGAAGTATCTCGGCTGATACTTCCGCTGATTTGCATCAATCCTCCAAACCTTTTCAGACCACTTACTTCACTTGGGCCTGTCCCACTGCCTGTAACAGTCGGTAAACATATTATCACACGATCTGATTTTTGAGAAAGTCCTGCAACCAGGCCCCATCATCCACTGGGCCCTGGGAGGTCAAGAATATACCCCAAACCCAAATAACCCTTTCGAACCGGTTCTCCCCGCTGCCTTCCTCACCTTCTCTCCACCCCTCGCCCACCGCCTTCCCCCTCGCCACCGCCACATCGTCCCGAAAGCTCGGCGCCCAGTCGAGACCGTGCGGTCCGCGGCGATCGAAGTCGCGTGGTCTCGGGGTGATCGGCAGGGCATCGGCGACATGATCAACGACTTCGGCTTTGGCGTCACGGCGTCGGTCCCCGAGGACGGGGGGGAAGGAGAAGTGCCGGTGGAGAGTAGCAGTGTGGAACCACCCGACAGTTGCGGGGCAAGCATGACACGAGCTGGTTGGGGCTGGAAGATACTACCCCAGACAGTCGTTGGTATTTTATAATAGCCTCCATTGACCCCTGTTCAACCTGTTTGGATGCAATGTCTGGATGCGTCCCAGGCTTCCATCGAGTTTGGGGGTTTGGGTGATGGAGCTGCGGTGAGTGGAGCTGCAGTGAGGGTTGATGGAGGTTTTTGGGGTTTCCTCATTGAGCCCGGCTCATCAGAGCTTTGAACGATTCATCAGATGGGCTCTGGAGGAGGGTACATGGTACTGTAGCAAGCCCGAGAGAGAATCAACATGAATCAACATAAAAGGTGCGCTGTTTCTTGGGTTCGGACCCAAGAAACAGCAGGAGCACCTGGCCACCTTTTTTGACCCGAAAGGTATATTCTTGCACAGCAGGAGCAACTGGGCAAGGTATCACAGTGCTTCTCCAAAGTCAATGCGCATGTGATAGCAGTAGATGTGGTAGCAGCGGATGCAGTAGAGAGACTATAGAGATGGCCGATGCCACAATTTGGATGAGGTGTTGATGACTAGAGTGACTAGAGTTGGATGCAGTGATATCCAAAAGCATCTGGCTGAAACAGACATCGAGCATCAAGCCGAGCCCCACGAACCTGGCTCATGATCGTGAGATCCAAATCGACACCACGTGTCAAGTTGTTTCAGGACAGAGTCCACTGGATTCTTGAGACCTTTGAATCAGCATCACCATATGATGCTATAGTAAGATGCTGACTTTGCATCTAAAAGGCTCAGAGTCAATTGGAAGATGCTTGAACATTGGAGCAACACTTCAAGATCTTCAAGGAGCCTCCCAGAATCGGACGAGACGGACGAGTCCCTCACCTCACGTCGGACTGAGGAGTTCAGAATTTGGCCAAGGAAATACTTGGTTGGGCGTAGAGCTTAGAACCAAAGCATGATTGTACTCTAAGCTTTTCATGGTCAGGGCCATCCAGCAAAAGCATCATGGACAGGTGATGGCATCAGGTTTTCGCCGAGGACATGAAACCTAAGTGACATGACAGTGAGGGTTGTTTTGCATGGAAACATCTTTCAGGATGACTGCCATTCTAAATTCAATTCCACGATTCCTTCCATCTGCACTGAGTACTTGGATTTTTGTTTTCGGGCGAAGACGATGTTCGTTCGTTCAGGAGATTGATGAACTTGGATCTGTGGCTGATGAGGTGGGTGGAGGAAGGGCATAGAGTCCGGATGGAGTGGAGTCTTCTGGCCTTAACTAGTCAACATCCTACCACACATGGCTGTGCGTCATAGCATCAGGAGACCTTGGTTGATCTACCCAGGTGTTGGTCAAGCTACATGGTGGACATTGGGGGACCGGGTCTTAGGTTTTGAATAGGTTTGACATGTTTTGACCCATCCCCATGAGTAGTGCCATGTTTCTGGATTGCGTGTACACCAGGGATCTCGACGAACACGAACCGCTGTATCAATCTGTGCGTGACGAACACGAATTGTCAACCATCACTTCGTGACGGCAGGTTTCCCCCCGCGGTGTTCCGCCGACATGGCTCGGAGCGGTTGGATGGCCGAGCTCGAAGCGTTCAGCACCTGTGAAGCTCGCTGAACTCGGTGCGCGCGGTGCACGCCCCGTGCGTCGCATCTCCGTTCGAAGGCACACCACTTTGGCACCCTGGGGTCTCTTTTGTTCAACTCATGCTGAGCGTTTTTTGAGGATCAACCATCCAATTTGTCCCCAGAACTGACTTTTTTGACTTACCGTCCCAGATCACTCTATCCACTTCTGTTTAGAAGTATTTCATGGATCCAACTTGGACTTCCAGGGACATCTACATACAGTATTTCTTTGTTGCATGCATAATTACACGTAATGTAGATGGATATGGATCGCATCACCGTGTTTTCTTATAGATTCATCCACTCTCTCCCACCGTTCTCCCCACCGAGCTCGGCCGTCGTCGGTAGGTGCCGCGCAGTTGGGTGGTGGACTTCACCCAGTCGATGGCTGGGGATCCAGCGGTGGTTTTCGGGATGCAGTTTTTTGGGGGTGAAGAATGCAGTTTTTTTTGGTGGGATGGGGTGCAGTTCGTTGCTTTGGATGGCTTGAGTTTGTGCAATGACTAGTAATTACAGTACTGTTTTTCATTGAACGAGTCGTTTTGGCTGTTGGATTAGGGTTCGGTTGGGTGGGGGGTTGGTTTCTGTGGGTTTGGCTTGATGGCTTGATACTTCTTGACAGCCATCCAGATGCTTAGTTTTGTTCCAAGTCAGCGATCGGGTTCAGTAGACAGCGAGAGACCTGCAGCCTTCAACCTGCTTTTGACTCATCCAATTCGATCTGCAACCCTGCGCAGGATTCTGCAGGTCTACAGTTTGACCATTTCACAACAAGGAGACCAGACCTACTTGAAGGGGCTAGTCACGCATCCGACTCCTAAACCAAGTCCCCCGTTCCTCTTGAAAAGGTGCTTCTTGGTCCCTATAGGTCATGACAGTTCAACCTCTTCGTCGGACCACTCCGGTCCGTTGACCACTCCGTTGACCAACCAGGTCTGCCTCAGCGTCAACAACCGAGAGGCCGATGTGGGGACTCTTGCGGACTTTGCGGTTCGTTCCTTGTGTCCCCCACGCACGTCCATGCCGCTTCTCGCACAACCATGCCCAAGAGGGCCCTGAAAATCTTGACAGCTGGAAAGTGTTCCTCTTCAAACTAGCAGTGAACCTGGGCTCGATGTGAGTTTCAGAAGCAGACTGTAGCAGACGATGAGTTTTACAGACTGGCTAAGCAATCGAGCGCTGAGCGTCCGAAGATGAAGAGGATAGTCTACTGCTTTCGATGCAGAATGCTCGTTTGCTATCGGTTTTGAGGGGCTGATTCACGATGGTGCAGCTGTGGTGCTTGAGACCCCGGGTCTTCGACCAAGCGAAGTATACTGCTGCACAGCGTGGAATTACATCGGGCTCGAACAGTTGTAGTTTGGATTTGTTTGACTGACTCGATCAGCAAGATGGGACATTCAGGTAGACAGGCTGGGTATAGCCAATAGCCAAAGATGGATTCGATGACCTTCATGTGCCTGGTATATTCTTGTGTCACCTTCCAGTTCAGCAGGGCTGACATTTAAACCTATGGCCCTGCTTGGGGATGAGTCTTTGGCGTGCCGCAGCAGGGCCAAACGGCCGCCCTTCTCCGGCTTCTCTTCGACGCATCCGAACTCAGAGGACGAACTCGTTCGTTCGAACTCAGGTCTCTCTACCCTTCGAACGAACTCGGAAAGGCCACCCATTCGGCACATTCGCATGGACACGTGGTCCATCGCCGGAGGCTTCCCAGGGGAAGAACCTCTCTGCGGCCGCCTTGAGAGAGGCGGAGCGGGGTTCGGAGAAGTCGAAGGACCGACTTTGTGGAAACGCATGGGAACCACTAAGAATTTTGGATCCAAAGTGTCTTGCTGAGTCTTGCTGTTGGGCCTTTTTGATCAGATGTAGCACCAGTTACTGTAGATGCCATAGTTGTGTATATATTTCACTGCAGCCGTTTCTGCTTAGTTTTGGGTTTACTTGCTTGCTTCAAGCGTGAGCTAAAAGTGTGCCTATCACCTTTGGGACTGTGACTTGGGGTCACTACGTTTGTGAGCCTAAATTATCCGTTTACTTTTCACATGCCACAGCATGACAACTTCATGGTCGGACATCTGAACTGATCACCGCTGTATTCTCCCCGCGAGGGGCCCCATCTGGCCGAACCAACGCCGCAGGGTTGCCGCGTGGGGCTCTTGGTGAAGCCCAACGCCTTTGAGGCGCGACGAGCTGGACGCAGCGCCGGGTTTCAAGACGGCACGCCGCGGCTCAAGCAGCAAATCCATTGAATCATATTTGAATCATATTCCCTCAGTTTCATGCATATTGCCAAATTGCAATTTATTAATACCTGCCGGTGACCTGCCCTAAGAATCCTGGCCCTCAAAGGTGAAAGGGTTTTGAGGGTCCGGACCCCTGCTATAGAGGGTCCCTGCCATGGAGGGCCAAGGATTCTCATGGGTGGAAAGCCATAATGCATTTTGTTTGTCAAACGGCCTTGAGCATCTTGAGCATGCTTTTTGGTCATTGCGGCTTTGATTATCTGCAGTGACTTGTGTGAGAGTTGCTACATGTTGCTACTGTTGTTCACGCTTTTTGGTTTAACAACATGTTGAAACAATACGGTTTTGCTACGGGTAGGCCTGCCAATTTCTTTTGGATCATTACGTCTAAAAACAGCATTTGGACAACAAAATCAATGTTATTGGCAGTTATTTGCTTTTCCCCATAAGGACCAGAACATTTTGGGCATTTGAATTTGGCTTTCCAGGTACTATATCTTATGTTATTTACAATTAATTTACTAAGATTCTAATACGTCTCATGACGTCTCATTGCCAGACTTCTTTCAGTTCCTTTCCTTTCTCTCGGAAAGCTATATCCGCCTTGCTTCCTCGGTTTCGTCCAGATCTACATTGATGGCGTCCATCGAGACACGCTGACGGTGCGTCCTGAGGCCCTGCCTGGGGCCGACGGGGCGAGACAGGGCCGACGGGACGGGACCGCCTGATGGCTCAAAAGAAGCGAACATCTTGGGAGTCCCACCTCCCTTTTTTCTGGTCCTCAAAAATGTCCTGATTTGAAGAAGGCATCCCACAACACGAATGAGAATTGATCTTCTGGAGGCACGCAACAGTTCGTGGCGACCAAACGGGAGGGATCGATGACCCCACCAGTCGCGGCTGATCCTTGGTCACCAGGAAGTAACACCGTTGTTGCTCGCCCTGAACAGGGATGCTTGCTGCTAAAAAGACACATGGAAAGCACGCACCTATGTGGGTGCCGAGACAGTCAGAATGAGCTAGAATGAGCTAGAATGAGATCTCTAGATGAAACACTAACATCTTTCTATTATATTGTAGGTGTCCCAGTTACTGTCCCAATTCCAGGTGCATATCTCCATCAGGGCTCCTGCATGTCGGCCAGGACTGCGTCCCAGTCAACAGCGGGCTTTACCCGGTCTTGGACTTGTGGCTTGGCTGCATCGAGGAATCCTTTGGGAGAAATCGTTGGCTGAGAGTTTGCAGTGCTGAGAGCTGTCCTTCGCGGAAAGCGCGGTCGAACATTCGTGGATCCATGCGCCCCAAAAGGATCAAAGACATGTTTAATTACATATCCCAGACGCCAGACGCTCCATGTGTGGAATATTTACACACATATACTCCGTGGAGAGTCTATATCATTAGGATCCGACAAAATCGAGTGCATACTAAAGTAGTCACAGGGTGGTCTTGGGATATTGGAACCTGCATCACTGATGGGGGCATTACGCTATATATAGATACCAGATTTTGTCCGGCGATCATAGAAAATCAAAAGAGGATTTGTATGAGGGGGCCTACACTGACACATACTCACACACACACAAAGATTTCATGGTCGCACCATTTGACACCTCATTGGTTTCTTCAAATTTCTTCTCCAAACTTTGCCAAAACTCAGGGGCCATCCCGTTTCGCACCAATGCAGCAACCAAAGTCGCTGCAAGTGGGCACCACCTGAGTTTGGTTCAGAATGGAGCCCGCGGGCCTGGGAACAGCTCGCTTTTCGCCCAATTCTATAGGAAAACCATGGAAATGCCGTCTTCAGGTGCATTTTATAAAAGGGTGTTGGGAGCCTTTGCATGCCGAATCTCAGAACAAATCACCCCAAACCCATGTAGGTGAAGCCGTAGGTGAAAGTGGACCACTGTGCCTAAATCAGTGTGAGCATATGGGCATATGGTTGTGCATGAAAGTAGGGAGACCGAACCACAGCCGTTCCGACTGGAAGGTTCGGGAAATAGACCAGTCTAGCCATTGGTTGGGCCGCCCAGTTGGGCCATTGGGGGGTTCTCTCTACGAAAATACATGGCAATACACTATACACCCCCATCTCTTGTTTTCTCTGTAACGCTTCAAGACTTCTCTGCGCTTCCCGGTGCGCCTCCGTTGACTGTTTGCTCCGTCGGTGAAAACGCCCGGACCTCCAACGCACCGACCTCCAGCGCTCGCAACGAACGGACCGGACGACGCGGTCCGTTGATTCTCGTCCGGTCATCCGGGCCCTCCGCGGGGCGAGAACCAAGGTATGGACGCACCATCGAGATCTCGAAGACGGACGCGGAGGAGCTTGAGCGTTGACCACGGGCCGGCGCCGGTTTTGGGGTTGTGAAGATGGTGGGAGGGCGGGGAGGGCGTAGGGAGAAGGTGGAGAGCAGCGGAGGATGAGAAGCGAACACGTGCTTTCAATATAGACTGTTGATCATAACCCTTGATAATAAGCCCATCTTTTTGGACTCTAAACCTATGAGAGTCTACAAAGTATACAATACACTGCACAAAAAGGTTTACTCTTCGGAACCGGAGGCTTTGGAAGGCCACCACTCCCCTAAACAAAAGCCAGGTTCTTCCGGTCAGGGGCCTGTTTAGGCTGTTTGGGAAGATCTTGACCTCTAGAATCTATAGTTATAGAGAGAGCCCAAATAGAAAGCGAAACGATGTCCTGTGTGTTCTCGGGAGTGTTCGCTTTTGTTCAACTTCCTGAGGGCTCTTGGGCATGCTTTCATCGATGAGATAGAGGCTGACGCAGGTAGAATGCTCTCCAGGTTACACAATGTAATAAAGTCGAATTGCAACATGTCAACCTAGAAACTTCAGCCACAACTGGAAGGTTTGCCGAACCGCAGTTTCGGAAATGCATGAACATGCGCCCAGGAGCCAGTGAAATGCTACTAGAGCAATGCGAACAGAGTAAAGGTCACGTGCAATTCTTGGAATTCTCTGTGTGCAGCATGTCAAAAGAAACCACAGTAGACATAGGCCTTCCGAGAAGAACCACTGGTTTGCTCAGTCGTCCACAATATTTCTAGACAGGGGGACTGACTCATTGTGTGCTGTTTTGAATGGCTTCATGTCCTCACACTGCAGCATGCTAAATGAGAACTTGTTTGAGGAATTGCCTAGTCGCACGGTGACCTATCCTGGCAGCAATAGACTGCAGATGAAGATTATCCATTTGAAGGATTTCAATGAATGCCTGCCGAGGCCAATTTGTCATGCAATGCTGATGTGAATTTGAGAAAGATTGAGAAAACCAAGTTGCCACCATCATGTAAGAAATCGCCTATACCTTTGACCTCTACTTCTTGTATGTTTCAATTGGTGACCTACAAAAAAGAAATTTTACAGTGATCATGCGTTAACGGCCCATCAACAAGAACGGCCCAGTCGGTTCCCTTCGATACCTTTTTTGGACCAAACTCTCCTCTCCTGGTTCGGCGCCACGCGCGGCTCTGAAGCGCTGAAGGCTTGCCACACTTCATTCGGTGGATCCCATTCTGCGAACAGAAAAGGATCTGGCCAAAGTATTGCAATTTGATGGTCATATAGCTCAGGAGGTCAGTTGCTGACAGTCTCAGATCTTCATGTGAACGTTCAAAAAAGCTCAGTCAGTTAGATCCATACAACATCATGTTTGTGGAGGTCGGTTTCCGTGTATGGAACAAATGGTTAAGGATCCACCTGGACCGCCAGTCCCAACGCGCCACCCATGCGGTGTCTCCGGCCCATTGCCACGGCACCATCAACATGGTGGGGTGTCTTCCGAACGCGGCGCCTGCGCAACGCCTTTGGCGTCTTCCGAGCCATGTCCTGTTTCACCCGTTTCGGGACCCGAGCCGCCCGCGGCTCGGGCCCTGCCCCCCCGCCTTTCCAAGCTGCTGACGCACGCATGGCGCACGCGGCCTCGCGCGTGGCGGCCTCGTGCGAGCTGCTCGGAGTGTTTTCGAGGTTTCCCGCTTCTCATGCCACCTGGACGTGGAGCCCGTTGAGCTCGCAGTGTTGGTGTTGGACGTTTCGGATGTGGTGAGCTCGCAACATGGGTGCTCCCTGATGGATGTGTCGTTCCTGTGGGTGGCCAGGGTGGGGCACGAGGACGGTTTCAGTGGCAAAGAGGACCGAAGCACCGGCCTCGGAAGTCTTCAGAAAGGCGTTCGGGCTGCTTTCAGTAGCTAGATAGAAGCTATAGCAGTAACAAGGGCATCGCTAAGACAACGTAACAAGTGCATTACTACCGTATTACCAGCTGCTTCCGTTCGGGGTCACCAATGGATATCTCCACACTACTGACAGGTCTCCATTGGGCCTCCCTTGGAAGTGCTAGGTACTAGTATAGTCACATTCAGTTCTATTAGTTCTATAATGTTCTATACAAGCTTGGCGCTGTTCTGCATACAATAGACAGTCATGAGAAACCACGGCTGGCCTGTTCTGCATGTAGCGACATTCAGGGATTAATATTGACTGATCAGGAAAAATACAAACGTCAAATCTGGGATGCTCGTTCACATGTCTAGGCCTGGGGGGTATTATCAAATCAGGTGTCATATGGGCAAACCGCCAAACCCCCCCCTCATTTAGGAATGGTCGAGAAGTGTATGTGCTCAGCACGGAAGTCGGGAGCCGGGGAAGTTCCAGCGCTTCATTTGGTGGGAGAAGCACTGATTTACATGAGGTTTTTGCGGGGTTCTTCGAGTTTCCCAGTTTGGCTGAACCTGCAAATGAGTTGTCATATAGTCATCCTAGAATTTCTAGAATACATACATCAATCAAAGGGTTGTGTTGACCAAGCAAAAGTGCATCATGGACAAACTCTCACTCTTCCTCAGAACATTTGGGTGTGTATTTTAATAGGGAGGTCTCTCCAACCAATGGGTAGTAAGCTGGTCTATGGTTCTTCTTCCAAGGGGTCGGACTGGGGTCTCCCTGTTTTGAATACACCCATTTGGAAAGCATTTCTACCATCCACTTCGAACCGGGTCCCTACTCGTCCCGCCACGTCCTGCGCCGAACGTCGATCGGAAGAAGTGTCCCGAGAGCCGGATCTGTTGAACGAGGGAAGAACGTCACCTCGAGGCGCTGGCGTCCTTGGGACTTGGAGTCAAAGAATTCGGTTCGAAAACTGTTGGATGACCAGAATAAGCGGTCACCTGACAACGGTGGCTTCAAACCATCGGTTGGGACGGGCAAGTCAGCGGAAGATGGATTTGGGTCCGTCCCATCGATTCTAGGCTTCCAGGACTTGTTCAGGTTTGGGCTAGAGGATGTAGAACTGGCCTGGGGGGTGGTAGATGCCCCACTCTAAATGCGGTAAAACCACCGAATGCAAGTAAGTGCCATGGTAGTAGATTGATGGTTTGAGTAGTGGTTTAAATTGATGTAAATAGGTTTGAGATGGTTTGAGTCCTTCAACCGTTTTCGGACAGAAAGATATGAACATTGTATCCCTCAAGTGTTACTCACCGACCAGATATGGATGGCTTCTCTCATATTTGGGGTTCATGTTGTATGCGATCTAGGACTGGGAGGGTACATATAGAGCAGCACGTACAGCGCAAACACCGGCCACTTTTCAGTTGTTTTGTTTTGTTCACGTAAGACGGCCGCTTGCTTCGCCGAGGTCGGATCTTTACGTAAGCCCAACTGGACGGTGCATCGGTAGGTCCATGGACATGGACATGGATGGATGTGGGGTCAAATCTGGTTGAACATGTTTTTGTTACTCCCCCGCAAACTAATATAGAACCTGAGAATTGACCCGTGGTTTCGACCATTTTTCCGAATACCAACACTCAGTGGTTTTGGGGTTCCATGTTAATCTGCAGGCTCTCCCATTGAACGGGAAGCCATCGATTTGCTCTTTTTGTTTGAGCAGATGGTCAACCATTGCAAGCCAACCCGAGCGGCAGATGTCCGTCAATAGTTAACACTGCAATTCCTGCCTTAATCCCTATGGCCATTCCTCGAGGTGAGAGAGACTCCAACAGCCCAATGTGCTGTGGTGCCCGTGGCACCAAAAACGCACACCGGGCCGGCAAGTGCTGCTAGCGGAGGGGGTCCGGCGATGCTGAATGTGGCCAGGTCTCAAAGTCCCTAGTAGCTTCTTGTTACTAGTAGTAAGAATGCTCCCAGTAGCGATGCCCTTTGCTCCTAGTCTTTTGATGTGTCCAGTATTGTCCAGTGTTGATTTTGGAACGAGCTAGGTGATGCCAAAATGTTGAAAGACCTTGCGCAGCTCTCGCCACGTTTACAGCACACTTTGTGGGACCGTGCCCCGCAAAGATGACGCAAGTTGATTGCTTTCCACAGACCAAAATGCAGGAATTGGAAAAGGGTACCTGCTTCTGCACATCCTGACATATGACTATGCATGAGTAATCATATAACAGCCCTGCAGGCGCCAAAGATTTCTTTGTTCGTTCTTCCTTGGAACATTTGGTGTGTCCAAGGAAGCCAGGCTTTTCTGTTGTTGAATTCTTTCACCGTTCTTCACGCAAATTCCCGAAAGGTGCTGAGTAGCGTCCTTGTTACTAGTAGTAAGGCCAGGAGTCCCTAGTAGCATCCTTGCTGCTAGTAGCGATGCCAGGAGCCCCTAGTAGCGTCCTCACAGGTTGATGTCATTCCTTTCTAAGCCAATATCGGTGAACATTGGTGAGAATAGGAGTATCATTGATATGATCATTGATACACCGCGAACGCAGGGCGTAGACCACAAGGGGTTCGAAGTAAACCCAATGGTATACCTTCAACTCTGGCATAGAAGTATGGGAAGTGGCATGCGCGTGTTCGTTCTTGAGCTGCTGAAAGCCATTGACATGTGAAACCAAAGTTTCTGATTGCCCAAAGATGCGTTCAATCAATGACGATTCGATACTACGACCTTTTTGATTGATGATGATACATGCAGGCACAACTTGATTTCCCTAGAGGTCAGCTCGTGAACAATTCAAGGAGCTGGGGTGTAAAATTGTGAGTGTCAAGCTGACCCCGCCGTGCAACTCGAACAGCTTTTGCTCCAGCACCACTCCGCTTCCCTTTCTGGAGGCAGCTCAAAACCTGTCGAAGCATGTTGTCCTGCACTGCATAATTGTTGGAAGTTGTATTCCATGGGTTCTTTACAGTAAAGGATGGGGTAGGAAGTCACCGGATCCAAAGATTTCTGGATTTGGCCGGTGGCAACCACCTCATGGGTCAACAAAAAGAGACGAAAAGCCTGGATAGGCCATTTAGGCAGTTTGCGACTTCCTGAGGTTTCCTGAGTTCCAGGATAGTTCCCGGCTATGTTCTAGATGTTCTAGCTCCAATTCAGAGGAAGCGACGGCTCGGGAGTGACTCGGGGGTACATTTTTGCTAGGTTTCCCACCCAAACCATATTAATAGTGTTCGTAGGACTAATTTACGTGAACCAACACTTAGGGATGACCACCTCAAATGAACAGATTCCAATTCCTTAAATGTCTCCATGATCCCTCCCCCCACCCCAAGCAAAAGGGTCGCTTGGAGGGCGGGTAAAGTCGGAGCGTGGGTCTGGTGTGTTGGGTGGAAGAGGTGTGTTGACCTCGCCATGTTCTCCTTGCTCTGGGGGATTGGATCAGGTGTGCAGGGCAGGAGAGGTATTTGTTGTCGATCGCGAAGCGGGGATCCCCACCAGATGCCACCAACCATCACCAACCCTTTTGCACATCAATGACTGTTTTAGACGCTTTTGCATCCCCAATCGTTGTTGTTGTCACCATTTCAACCAGAATCCAGCAGGAGGATACATGGCTGCGGCCATGGCTATAAGTTAAAACATGTTAAAACCTTTTGACTCAGCCATGGGAGGTTGGCATCCCTTATAAGGGATAGAGAGAGAGAGAGAGAGATTTGTTCATTTGATCCGGGGTCAACCATGGTAGCCCAGGTCTTGGCCCCACAGCCACAAGGGAGATCGGGTTCAACTGCAGGTCTACGTCGTAGATCTGGCTGTTCCTGGTTAAGTTAGACGGAGACCCGCCCTTGCTTTGCACATGCAGGGGCACGTCAACGGCCGCGAATCGCCGCGAACTCTAAGAGTTGATGCAGGCGCCAGGGCTCCGCCAGCCATTCACCGTGTCGCTTTAACGCAATTTGGCTTGGCAGAAATACATGCAGGTGATATCATAGTTGCATGAAAGCATCTTATATATAGATGTGAACAATAAACGTTTGGGCTAAATATGGCTCAATGCAAGGTTGCTTGAACATCTGAACATTGCAGAACCATGGCTGGAGTCAGGGTGTGTGTGTTTGGAGACACCTTGGACACCTTGGCAGGAACGATCCCGTTCGCCGTTCCGAGGCCGGGCTGGCCGGTGTGGGGGTGGGAGCCAAAGCAACTTGATGATGGAGCATGATGGAGCCCAGCTTGCTTGCTTCTTGTAGACAGACGACTGGAAGTCGCAGTGGATGGTAGTAGAGGCAAATCATGGATTTTCCCCATGGAAAAGACGGGATCCATGCAACATGGTGGGCCATGAAGGGGGTTCTTGTGCAAAAAGTGGCAAGAAATTTCTATAGAAACGGTTGGGCAGGTGTCCGGTGTCATTGGTCTTGGAGCCACGAAAGCTGCAGCAAGTCCGGTGGATGGGGGCAACAGACTTAATTACCAAAAGCCGCCAAAAGCTTTCAGTCGGAAGCTCCAAATGCAACTAGATCACCCATCAGGCCTATCAGTGATGTGCAGGGTGACTTTCAAGCTGGGTGCAACTGTTGCGTTCCCCTTGATTAGGCAAGCTCGAAGATTCTTGGGCGATACTTTACATGGCTTCACATTGCTCCACGAGATTGGTAGACCAATGACTCCAGATGAGCCTGCTTGAGCATCCCCCTGCCCACTTCCAATCCCCACACCACATGTTTTCCACCCAATCCATCCCAATCCCACCCCATTTTCCCCCGAGATCTGCTCCAAGTTCTTCCACCTCATCCCAATCCCATCCCAGCACCGGCAGAGCTCACGGTGAAGCCCTTGAACGCCGACTTCGGCGCGCTGGTGACCTCCGAGCTCTCCGCCGAGAGGCGCGCTTCCGTGCGCCATGGGGACGGTCCGGGGCCCGGACGGGACGGGGACGGTCCAGGACGGTTGCCCAGGCTCCTGGGGAACCCGCACTATGCGCAGCAGCTCTTCCACGCTTGGCAGGACGGGCTCCGCGAGCCGCGAGCGAGGTGAGCGAGCGAAGTGTCGGAGGTATCGGACGCTCCGAGCACGGAGAGCGCGCAGGAGCACGGCGGGCTGCTGGTGATGCGGAACCTGGACTTGACGCCACAGCAGATGGTGGCCATCAGCGCCTTCTTCGGGGAGGCCACAAAAGACGAGATGGCCGTGTACGCGTGTAGCAGCTGTGTAGCAGCTGTAAGTAGGGAGACCCCAATTGACCCGCTTGGGTCATGCTGTTTGCCTTTTTTAAACCTATACCGTTTACGGACAAAACGACGTCTTGTTGGTGTTTCTGTGTGTTTCTGCTTCAGGTTGAAGATGAGCTGGACGAAAGCAAACAAATGCTTCTGGGCTGAGAGACGGGGCCCTTGCGTTTGGGCCTTGGGCCTTGGATGGTCGAGTCATTCACGCACATCAGCTCAAGGAGGGGTCTAGTTGTTTGAAAGGGATTTGGTGTTCCAAGATGTTCCAAGGGAGCTTGAACATTAAATCAAATATATATAGTTATACAATGTTATACATGAAGATAATATATAATATATAAGTCTGTATATAGTAAGAGCTTGTTATTTTGATGTGAGGCCAGCGATTGGAAGCATTCCTTGGAAACCACATGAGTACTCATGTTTAACGTTTGGAACCTATGGAGACTAATGTTTGCGTGTGAGACCTGGTCAACATCCGGGAGATCAGTCGACCTAAAGGGTTCTTTAAAATTCCTATGGCTTTGGCCACACATGGTCACCAGATTGGCTTCCGTGAAGCATTGTTTTGCCGAACCAAGGGAACAACACAAGAAAACACGTCTTGCCCACACTGTAATCCTGAGCGCCTGACAATGGTTTTTGCTAGTTGGCGACATACAGTGCTTCTCCGAAGTGATGGCTGCGCAGTTGCCTGCGGACGCAATGACGAAGGACAATGCAATATTCCACCTTTGGAGGAAGGATGTCCTACACCCAGGTTTCTGCAGGAGGGTCTCATACAGTGCTTCTTCGAAGCGATGGAAGCGCTATTACTTGCGGACAAAACTTTGCAGGACAATGCAACATTCCACCTTTGGAAGAGGGAGTGTCCTACAGACAGGTTTCTGCAGGATGGTATCACACGGTGCTTCTTCGAAGTGATGGAAGCGTTGTTGAATACGGAAACAACACTTTTACACAATGCAATATCCCACCTTTGAGTGGCGAATGTCTTACGTCCAGCTTTCTGCGGGGTACTATCATACAGTGCTTCTGCGAAGTGATGGCAGCGCTGTTGCTTGTGGAGTCAACAATTCCGGACAATGTAGCATTCCTGCTTTGGACGAGGGAGTGTCCTACATCCACATTTCTCCCAACGAACTCATACAGTGCTTCTCCGAAGCGATGGCAGCGCAGTTGCCTGCGGACGGAATGATGTTGGACAATGCAATATACCAGGCTTGGATGAGGGAATGGCCTACACCCACATTTCTCAAGAATGGTTTCATACTCCGAAGTGATGGCTGTGCAGTCTCTTGTGGAAGGAATGATGAAGGACAATGCAACATTCCACCTTTGGAGGAAGGAATGTGCTACACCCAAGTTTCTGCAGAAGGGTATCACACAGTGCTTCTTCGAAGTGATGGTAGTGCTGTGGCTTGCGGAGGAAATGAATATCGACAATGCAACATTCCGTCTTTGAGGTCTTGGCGGGAGCTCTTAACTTTTGCAACAGCCAGACGTCACTATGTTTGTGATCTCATTCCACTTGACAAAGACTACGTTGTGCAAACGGGTGTTGCTCTTGACGATGACGCAGCCATGCTGACATGCTGGGATTTGGCAGGGCATGAGGTGCTGTACATGAGGGCAAAAGGGTTTGACCTCGCTGTGGAGACCTCGCTGTCGCGCATGGCACGTGACTTGAAGGTTAGCCTCCAACGTCTTCTCTCGTGGTCTTGCCTGATGGACAGTTGTTGGCCTCAATTTGTAGGGCACATCCATCGGCACCATCCATCGGCAAGTTGGGCGAAGCGCCGGTGATCTTGGGACAGTCCAACGGTCGGAGACCGAGGATCTTGGGACTTCACAGGGATCTTGGCTGATCTTGGGACTTGGATTCAAGAAGGTTCAAACTGAAGACTTCCGGAGTTTTCAGGATCATCTGGACATACCTGGACCATCCGCTTCGGGTCTCCAATAGGCTACCCTAAGCCAGTGATGATGACTGTGGGCGCAAAAATTGGGCGCCCAATGGCCCTGATATGTCCTGATACAGTTCACCGTCCAGTGGGCTGACTTAGTTGGTCCACCAAAACACAATTCATCCAATGGGGCTCATACATTGGATGGTCCACCAAGATGCGAAAGGAAAGTTCTTGAGATCCAGGTGGATCCCCCTGCACCCCATTCCGAAGAAGCGTGGGTCCTCCGTGTGATTCCTCCCGTCTCCCGTAGCCTCCCGTCCTCCTTCGCTGGGCCTGGACCGAAGCTGAGCGCCCCGAGGTTTGCTGTCGGGGGCGAGAGCCGAGCTGGGCCGCCGATGCGGGAACGGGCAGGGAAGGGCTCCATGGATCACCGGCGGTCGCTTTTGGGAAATACATATCAGACATGACGACTGCACTCCATGCAGGGCATATGTGCCAAAAAAGATTGACCCCAAGTCAATCACCCAAATGTATAGGAAACATGTCACACATGGAGTGTTTGGGATATGCTGTTTGTTGGCTCGTGACTTGAGTCAAAAGACTACTTGCGTATTACTTAGATATATACACTAGCTAGATAGCTGCTCTCCGCCAATTCTTCCAAGTCCGGAGGGATTAATATCTCCTGGTAGGGCGTTTGTGTGTTCAGCTCGCGATACGGTCCACGGCGACCGGCGAGAAGCGCACGGTCCGCAACTGCTGAAGCGCTGCGACGGCTGCGAACGGCTGCGTTCGTCCGACCAACGGGGGATATAGCCCTGCTGATCGCTGGGTGACCGATATTTGATATTGAAACATATGGAACACACCGATGTTCCGCTTTGTTCTATGGAACATGGTGCTTGAATGTGCTTGAGATAAGGTATATAGTGATGGGGGAAGGCTTTGTTTCCCCTTCGCAATAGACATGGTGACGAAATTGCTGCTGTTATCTTTTTGTTGCTCAATGGAGGACAGTTGAAGAGTCCACTCAAGAAAAGAGGGTGTGCCCTCTTGTTTTGACACCCGCGGGTGACTTCTGGAAATATGTCCATCTCATGTTGGACTCTTCATGCCAAAGTTCAGGGCGCAGAACGGCGTTCTGATAAAGACAGTCTTTTTTCCAGTTTCAGGTTTGGTGTATTCGGTTCAATAGCTTTCCATTGTATGATTGCCCAGATCTCGAGATCTACAATTAGCAATTGAGAAATGGCCGGCGGCACGTTCTCAAACTTTACCAGAAAGAACACCTCTTTTACAACTCCAGTGCACGGTTGCTTCGGCAAGACCAATTCATCCGCATCACGTGCCGTTGACCTCCGTTGACCTTCCGACAAATTCAGCCACTGACCTTCGCCGCTGCACAGACTCTAGGTGATGCGGATCGGCAACACGCGCGATCCAAGCAGCGGAGAAATCACCGCGCTGAACGCCAGCGACCCGCCTCTGCCTCCAGGTTCTGAGCAGCGGGGGCGGAAGGGGGGCGGGCGGAGCAGCGGGTGGAAGGGTCGGGGAAGGGGTCGGGGAACGTGGGGATGTTGACCCCGGTGATGTTCACCCAGCCAGAGCTAGGTCGACATATACATAGGGATGTTGAGTGATTTTCATGGCGAAAGGCCGGGTGATGTCGCATGAAGAGGAAAGACAGGAAAGAATCAACGTGGGCTGAAAGACTTTGAGTTTGCAGAACTTGGCATAAGTGAATTGTCAAACAATTCAGATCCTGTGTTGGGTCAGGAGCCTTCTAATCCTTCCAGTGCCATCATTTGATTAATTATAATTAATCAATCTGATTTCAGGGTGGAAGAATGTTGTAAAGTTGTAGACTTGTCTCTACATCCAACTCGGTCCTTTTGATGTCTTTTGTCTATACTCTATACCATAGGTTTTTCATGGTTTTACTCAATACCATATAGAACGTGTGATGTAGAACGCCTCCCAGCTCTTCCCAGCCAGCTCGCCACCGACTCACCCCGTACTCGCCCCGTACAGGAGGCTCCCCGCAGTACCGCCCGGCCGACCGGAAGCCTGCGTGGCATACGGCCACTTGGCCTGACCGGGTCCACAGGGTAGGGTGGAGAGGGAGGTGTTTTGGGTGGGTTTTCCTTTCGAAAAGGACTGATGCTTTGTTTCTGCAGTGCTGTTTTCAGAAACCTGCAGCACTGCTGCACTTGACAATGCCAGTGACACATTTGATACTGCGTTTCAGAAAAAAAATCGATGTACTGCATGCAGTAGGCTCATCCCACGGTTCGGGTAACCACGGTAACCACGGCACGCGTTCTACCCGAGACGGTCATCGCATCGGCGGGCTCCGAAGCGGCGCGGCGGGTCCCGAGGATTCGGTGTACCGGAAGGATCCGCCCATTGGCTCGTTGCTGTACTGCAAGCTCGGGACGCCCAACGGGAGCGCGGAGGACACAGGACCCCGAGGTTTGGCAGCGAGCTACAACGGCAGCTTCGGTGCAAGAGTAGGGGGGAGAAGAATTCTTCTTCTTCTTCTTCTTCTTCAACAATGGGTTTGGTCTTTTTGGGAGATGTGTTTGTTCTCCTTTGGGCAGATCATGGTTGCTCTCTCAAATGCGTAGCCTTGGATTTCCACCGGAACAGCTTGCGAAAGTCAAGTTGCCAAAATGAGTCTTGACACACGTGGCCCCAAACTTGGCGACAGGTGTGGTCAGAAGTGGAGTTTGGGAGACAGCCTCTGTGGACCTTTGCCCCTGGTCTACCTTGGGTAAGATCTTGGGCATTAGACTATTCTGGACTTGCTCAATTGTGATATTTGGGAGTGACATGAAATGACATGGTGACATGGAGTGACTCGGTACGTCAGGCATGTGATGTGTTCTTAGTCCTGTAAAGCACCATTTAAGGTATCAGTGAAGTTTACTTGAGACTGGCCGGCCGTGACTGGTGGGCCGCAGGCAGGCCCTCGATGCGACCCAAATAAGGCTCAAGATGGCCCAAGCAAGGCTCCCAGACCTCCCAGTCAGACATCAAAGACACCCAAAGCCCAAAGACCTCCTGGAAGAAAGGAAATATCGCACTGCTTGAAGCTCCTCTGACCAGTCTACCTATTGGTTGGAGTTCTGATATTAAAATACCTTGCATACTGCATCCCTACTGTATCCATTTGGTCACCAAACACCTTTGGACACTCAAGCTTTTGAATGAACCTTCAATTTTCCTTGGGAATGGTATGGACGGCGATCGTTGTGACCCTCGCAATTACGCAGCTCATCGCAGCTGTGTATGTTGCCGGATATTCTTTTGTTAAGCTGTTGTCTCTTTTTGTGTCTCATTGTAAGAACCAGGTGTGTCATCACCACGTGTGCTATCCTCTCCACGAAGCATCAAAACCGTCCCTCCGCCCAAGGCAGACGCCGCCCGAGGGGGGGCGCGACCTGCTTTGCCAACGCGGCTGCGGCCTATGAGGCTTTGGACGCTGAAAAGAAGGAGAGGCTAAGGACATTGGAGTTAGGGGACCCAGCATGATCCAGCATCAGAGACGGGGAAGAGCTTGGGGTGACTGGGTACGGAGAGAACCATGAGAACGTCAAACAGTTAAGCGTGTGGGAAACACAGTTGCCACCTTGCGACCTGTGCTAACTCGAGCATAAACGAAGTATATCGAAGTATGAAACATTATGCAGACATTTGATTTGTTGGTCAAGCACCCCGAAGACATTTGATTTGTTGGTCAAGCACCTCTATGCGGGGTTTATCCGGGTTCAATTCCATTTTGAAAAGCACCCATTCTGGCTTCGGCTGGTTCGCCTTTGTTGGCCTAATGCTCAATCTGTCCATTCGCTCCATGTGACCGCAGAGCTCGATGTGAATTCCACACTGCTGCAGGTGTGACCAAGGTTGGTACATCCCTGGCGCATCCCTGTACTAATGTTGACTGTTCATTCGTGAAAACCTCCATATTATGGGGATGTTAGACCACTGAGGTAGGATATGTCTTTGTATACGCAACATTTATCAACAATCAACAGGGTAGAGCTGTCACTGGCAACTCGAGACAGCCTGGCACTGTATAGATCAAAAGAGACAAGATAGTGGCATGTGACATCATGTGACAAATGGCCTGGGCACACTGCTTGGCGTCCCAGGAGGGCTCCGGAGCTCGAACAGGGAACATGGTGGGTCAGTTCCCCACTTGGTGAGGCCCTGAAGAGGCTTGGTGGCCCCCGCGCTCAGGTGCCTTTGTTCTCAAGCTCATCATGATGCCAAGGCATGTTGATGTGGTGCCGTTTGTTTGGCTCTTCGTTGTTATGAAACGGCTGGAGTCCGTTTTGTCCGGCCCTACTAAGTCATGGCAGTCATGGCGACGATGTCGTATTTTTTGGCAGTCATGCAATGAGTCAGGCCACAGCTCAGTTGCAACACTAAGTCATCATTTCACCCGGCAAGAGACCATGTTCCGCCCACATCTTCAGAGCCATGATTTGGACACGTGAAGAGTTGCACCACTGGACGAGTGGGCTTTATTGGGACAACCCCAGACTCCCAGACTTTTGGGGATTTGCTTCTGGGTGGCACAAGTTCAGTCGCGCACAGTTCAGTCAACCCCCTTCCGCCTTCTGCTTCCGCAGATCAATCGTAGCTCTCCAGACTTCCCAGTGCTCACGCCCGCGCAGCGGGCCGCCAGCCCTGCGCAACGGGTGGCGTCCGGGGCGCCCAGCCGGGGGGGGTTCCGGCGCGGTGACGGTCGCGCGGAGGTTCCGCTGGCCGTGGTGGGGGACGTCGTTGCGGCGCAAGGCGGCGCAACCAAGAAATAGCTTCTAATTTTCTTGGAGCAGCCATGAGAAACCTGCAAGCTCATGGTTGGCCATACACTCTGAAATCGGTCCCAGGCTCGTTTGGCAATGGCCACCACCCAGCCCATTGGCCAGCTGCCCCAAACGAATCCGAAGCGGACTTCTGCTTTTTGAAGGACTTCCTCGAGAATGGGCCCCAACCAATCGCAGCTCCAAGAGCCATAAGGATTTAGAAGCCTGGGTCTTCCCAATTGCTTCGTTGCATGCTCATCATACCCGACCTGTCACCCTCCCCTTCGCTCATTCCTCTCACTGCTCCCAGCGGTGCGGGAAGCGACGGTACCGATGGCAGGATGGTCTTGCAGCATCCGCTCAATCAACGCTTGGCGCTCTATGGCATGAACGGTGGCACCTGCAAGGTCTTGCCCCGCGAGGCGAGGCAGAGAGAGAGAGAGAGACAGAGAGAGAGGGCGATTCTTGTGCAACGGGTGTCTTTTCAGGGTGGAGTGAGTTCAGTTAGGGATTGAAGGTGATTGAAGCGTCGAAGCATGTCGAAGTCTACGATCAATCAAATTGGCTTACGCCAGTGCTTGGCATTTAACTGTGGAAGAGGGCAAGAGGGCATGTGCGTTGCATCCATTCGCAGCCCTTTGATCAACACTTGGAGGAAAAAGAAGCGTGACAAACCACTGCAGGTCACAAACGGGTTGTGGCGAGTCCTAGGCAGCTCCGGGGCTTGTTTCGAGGAGGGTATTGACAATGTAGTTGAGAGCGATGCCAAAATTGCTTCGGAGGGGTGTTGTGAGCACACGGTTCATGACCACTGAAAGATCTAACCATGCACTTTCCCACTCAATTTCAACAAAGACTGTGTTGCCGGGCACTTGCCAAGGGCAACCCACGTGACCACCTACCCAAATTTCTTGGGCGTATGAAATTTGGAAAAATTCAACTGACGTCATACTCCCTGACCCTCTCCGTCGCATAGGGGCAGGGCAGAGTTTGAAGCTGTCGCCAGGGCAGCTCTCCGTCTCGATTCAACTAAGAGGATGATTGCAAGTGGACGGTGCCAGCTATGGTCGTGCATACGCTTTGACGACGGTGTTTGATGGAGTGTAAGGGGTGTCCACGTGCCAGCTATAAAGAGATATAAAGAGTCTCTTGGCCTTTGCTGAAACCGAGGCCAAGGCGCTAAGAACCTCAGGTTCGGAGGGAAGCCGAAGAATCCAGAAGGCTTCATGCATGGGACAGCAAGAGGGCAGAGAACGACCAGCAGCAAAAGAACCAGATGCTACAACTGTGGAACACTTGTCGCCTGTCTCCCCACGCACCTGTCGGGTGAAGGATAAGGAGATGGACAGTACGGGTGGAAGAAGAACGCGCCCGTGCGCCCCTCTGTCAAAATGTGCGGAGCCGGAAGCAGAAGGGGCTCCAAGCCCCTTGAAAGCCTTCCAGGATTGGAATTCAATGTTCATCAAAGCGAGGCTGTGCAAATGTACCAAGTGGTTGTGCCTGTTGAGCGTTTTCTCTCGCCCGTTTCGCCACAATATATATTAAGTATACATCAGATGACCCGGATTCACCAGCTTTCCAACCAAAACATCCACCCAGATCCACCGCACCGCTGTCTGGCCCTACGTTCGACGCCTTCGCCTCGGTCGTGAGGCGAAGATCACAGCTGAAGAGCTGGAGCGCTTTGAGTTGGAGGCGGTGGAGCACCAGTCGGTGGAGGCTCTCGCCTAGCGCTCCGAGCGCTCCGAGCGCTCCGAGATGTGTCGAGTGTCGTAACCAGTTGGTGTCTTAAGATTACGGTCCATGACCATTCGACCAATTTATGAATGAGGTGGGAACCAGGGGGTCCTTATTGAGCCTGTTTGCCCGAGATCTGATACGCTGGCCGCGCTAGCTTTTGCACACTTGATGAAGAGAGACGGTGGCCAGCAGAGGCTGGATTCATTAGTTGGCGGTGCGAGTTGGACGAGCACAAAAGACTGAAGCAAAAACGGACTATGCAGATGTTCCAAGCAACTAGTATGTGCCATGAACCAGAGCACACATAGCCCGATGGACACAAGAGTCTGTCCCTCACGGGGATACTAAGAGATGCTTAGTTCCTTTCGTATCGAGGTGTTTGGAACCCCCCGAGGAGTAATCTACAGAGCAGATAGTCAGAACACTCAAGGGAGCGTCCTAGTAGTAAGGCCAGGAGCCCCTAGTAGCGTTCTTGCTCCTATAGTAGTAAGGCCAGGAGCCCTTAGTAGCGTCCTTGCTCCTATAGTAGTAAGGCCAGGAGCCCCTAGTAGCGTCCTTGCTCCTATAGCAGTAAGGCCAGGAACACTCAAGAATTGTCAACTTTGTACACCCTTGGCACCTTCTTCAGGTTCCCGCCTCCTAGACGGGTCCAGTCATGCCCCATCCCTTGCACTGGCAACAGAAGGTTGAGTTGGCCAAAAAAATAGACATCATGACTTATCCATATACCCAGGATATCCGGGCATCATGACATCAGATTTATTTTAACCAAATATATATAGTAATATTTAGATGTCCACATATGTCACTCTGGAGTCAAGTGTATCAAACAGGCTTTGGCCTTCCACAAAAAAGGTCGCCTGTGCACTCGTCGCCCATGCCCCCACGTCTTGCGTTGTTCGCCTTCATCGAGGAACCATGCGCCACACAACGCAACCATACGCAACCATTCCCCCCATGCAACTCCGCACCTCGAAGCAATGGAACTCCGGGTCCTTCTCCCGCTCGAGGCGAATGATTAGCCGGGCTTTTGAGTGGGCGAATGGTTTTGCACGCATGTCTTTAGTGTTTGTTCCTTCAAAGCGCGCTTTCGTTTTTGAGGAGGAGTGGCGTTCCTTGCTGCCCTTCGTGACCTCCCCCAAGTTCACAGTGAAATGGGCCACTCGGCTGTGTTTGGCAAACTCGCGTGTGGTGAAAGCAATGCTTTCCAGTGGTTTTGCTAGCGCGAGCATGTGCCGAGGCCCTGTTTTGTTTTGGTGTTCAAGTCGTTTGTTTTCATCCGCCACCTCCTGCATCCAGCATGGTGCGCAACAAGGAAAGAACATGTAAACAACACACATAAAACAAAGAAGTCTAAGGGTTCAGTGATCAAGACAATCTCCTAGAACATGTTTGCAAACCTTTGTTTCGTTCTGGTTCCCATCGGCGTCCCCGAGGGAACCGCAGCGCTGGTCGTCACTTCTTCCGTCCGTGGGGATGCCGTGGGGATCATATAGTCTGATCTTGCTTAGGCTAATGTTCCCTCTGGGTGAATGCCCTTGTGGGGAATATGTTCTGTTCCGGGCGCCTGTTTGCAATATCTCCAGACCTGGAGATGTTTTGTTTAAATGGTTTACTTACCAATCGAATAGGAGAGGGTTGTGGAGGTATTAAATTTCGTGAGGACATGGTCTTTGGGGTGCATATGTGTTCAAACCCTACTTTGGGTGCGTGGCCACTCCACAAGTGTTCAAATGTATGCTTTGAAAACTAAAGTGACTTGAAAACACATATGTGGGTTCCCCAGTCGAATGCCTGAAACATGTCACTAAAAGTAGCCAAAATATGGTATGCAAGGTCCCTCATTCGTCCAGCATCGACGCGCACAATGAATGACTCCAACATTTTTCCAGATCTCGTGAACGGTCTGCTCATTCGGTCATTGAGCCTACTTCTCTGACTCTGCCAGTTGCACCGAATCCCCTTTGTGCGGCAGAACATGGCAAGAATACACATTGCATCTTGCACACAACAAACCAGGTGATTTCACCTGTGGCTGTGACCCACAAAATCCAAGAAGATCATGGACCATTTCATTTCCTGGTCCTCTTCTTGCTTTCCCCTGCATCAGCATTGCCCGAGCGCTTTTTGGAGGAAGAGGATTTCCCAGTCTCAGTAGTGCCTTCTCCATCCCCCTTCACACGGCGCTTCTTGGCCCCATCATCCTGGGGACACAAACGAGGGGTGGGGGAGGTGGAGGAGGATCTTAAGAGAAGGCGAGAAAGATTCAGAAAGTAGTCGAAGACGCAGCCAGGCCAGTCAAAGTTGGAATTCATCCAGCTATATCAATATCCTAGACTAGACCCAAACAAACCCTACTAGTGGTCCAACCTGGTTTAATGAAGTCCAAAGTCAAAAACAACACTAACTGCAGTAAAGTACAATCAGTGTCAGTGTCAGTGTCCTGTGATTTTGGTGTAGACGTCGGCGCGAAAAAGACGTTCAAACTCTGGGTGTTCTTGGGATCAAGCTTGCCGCCTTGCCTTTGCTTCTTGCCCTGCGCTGGCCGCTTCGGAGCATCCTTTGCTTTCTCAGCGGCTGCATCCTCAACAGCATCAGGGTCAACTTCCGAATCCGGTTCCATGTTTTCAGGAACCTTTGACACGTCCATGTCCGTGGGATGACTCTCAGGCTGCTCAGGCATCTTTGTCTCGATGGTCTCCGCAATCTCGGCAGCACGCTCAGCAACTTCTTGTGGCTCAGCCGGCGCAGCCTGAACTGCAGGTTGCACCTTGGGCACATCAGGTGTCTCCTCAGGCATCTTGGCCTCAAGGAGTGCTTCCTTGTTGGTCACCTCGGCCGTGGCCGTGGGCTTGGTCTCAACTTCGTTTGATCCAGGACCGTTGTTCCCCACAGCCTCAGACGTGGTCTCCTCAACTTCTGGCTTGTCAGTCTGTTCCTCCGGTTTCTCACCAGAGACAATCTCATTCGAATCCAAAACACCCCCAGCGGCTTGAGGGGCAGTCTGGGTCTCTGGAAGAGTCGCCGCTACAGCGTTTGATCCATCCTTTGACTCCTGTTGCTCCACAGCGGCTGGTGCATCTGCAGGTGCAAGGCCCTGACCAGGCTCATGCTCCACAGCGGCTGGTGCATCTGCAGGGCCGGCTGGTGCATCTGCAAGGCCCTGACCAGGCTCAGGCTCCACAGCGGCTGGTGCATCTGC